TAATTCTATATAAATATAAAGTTTGTTGGTAAACAAACATGTTCACACATTAAATAATAATAACAGAATTATTTATAAATATTTGAAATTGCGCCTTTAAAAACATTTTTTATAATTGAAGTAACATTTTTTGTTAATAATTCATTTATGTTTCTTTTATTGCAAATATATAATTTGATCTTAAATTTTTTAATTTTAATACTCTGTACGATGGCGGCGCCTGGTGGCAACTATTCATAATACGAAACGACTGCCCCTTTTCGTAGTGATGAATACCGAGTGGATGAGCTCGTATCAGTGTGTGATGTGCCCATACCGAAAATTGTGCGAAATGTTTTTATGTTTATTATATTAGTTGAACAGAAACCTTTATGGATATGCCTCAAATGTCATATCAACTATGCATACAGTAGAACGACCTTATATCAGACTGTACTTATAAACAAGTGTTGCATACAATGCAAGAAATTGGAAAGGAAGAATATAAATTGGTTTTAGAATTGGGTGATGGAAATATTTTTATCAGCGTGATTGTTGATATGTTGCATTATCTGGAGTAGGAAGTATTATTCTGTTACACCTCAAATCTCACCTTATCTCACATCGTGGTTTAAAAAAGGCTTAAACTAAGCATCCAAGTTTTAAATAATTTTACGTTTTAATAATTTATAATTGGAGAAAGAACAAGCAAAATTTTATTCATTGCTTGCAGAAATAAATATTGTCATATAAAACTTCAAGAGATCAGCAATGTGCTAAAAATTGGACAGAAATACCCATTGCAATGGAGTCCGAGATCATATTGGAAGGATTTAAAATAAGTATAGAAATGCACAAACTAAAATATGTAACCATAATTGGCGATGGAGACACTTGCTTGTTGGTTATGGTGCAAATGTCGTTCTAAAAAAAGTTGAATGCACTAATCATTTGCTAAGGAATTATTGGACCAAATTGAAAGACATAGCTAATAAAAGAATAACATCCAAAAACAAGGTGGCTCCCAGATATACGCAACATATTAAAAAGAATAAACAAATATATTGAAACACTCAAAGTAAGTATTAAATCAGGGATAAATTATCATAGAAAACAAGATCTCCCCCTACAAGACCATGTTTTTGGATAACATGATAGGCTTCCTATTTTTGTCTGGTTAGGCTTATTGCATATCAATTGGAAACGTATCAATTTTGCATTGAAAAATTCATATGAGGTGAGGTGTAATGCTGCTGCAGTAGCCTATATAGTGTTGGTGCAAATTATTAACAATAGTAGAGAACACCACCCTACTAAATAATATATGTTGAACGAACGCCCAAAAGAAAATTGGTGGCAGCTACAAGACATTGTCAGTATCCCATAATAAAAAAGCGGAGAAAAATGTTAACCGTCGAAAAAGATCATGGTTTTACTGAAGATGAAGAAGAACTGATAGAGTGCGCTGAAGAAGAAAAGACAAAATTTTTAGAGTCACTTGTTAGAACAACAGCAGGAATAACTTAAATTGAAAAGCAAATTAAAAAGCAGTATAGAAATGAATTTTTGATTCAAATTCAAAAGAACTTATTAACTGCTTCAAATTTTGGACATGTTTGTAAAATGTGTAAATCAATAAATCCCAACAAATTTATAAATAATCAATTGTATTTACAACAATTTACAAAATCTAAAATGACCAACTGGGGTAAGGATCTTGAAGCAATAATTGCTATACAAGAGTTTGAGCAACAATTCAATAAAAAAGTGGGAAGCTACAGTATTTCTATGTGCCAGGATCATCCGTATTTAGGTGCTTCACCAGATGACATAATAAATAGTAAAGATATAGTTGTGGTAAAATGTCCTTACACAGCAAGAAATTGACACAACAAATCGCAGTACAATAGAACAAAATTAAGTATTTAAAATATGGCGGAAGTAACATACATTTGAGTAGAAATCTCAATTATTGCTACCAAGTTTAAGGTCAACTTGCCATAAGGAGGGCAAAATTGTGCCACTTTATTGTGTGGACACCTTATGGCCTATTTGTAGAAGATATAGAATTTGAAGAGAAATTTTGGGATATTGCTGTTGCCAAATTAATTATAAAGTCAATTGTATGATAAATACGTATTTCTAATACTTTTTCATTTGTCTATTGTTTGGTTAAATTAATTATGTTGTTTGTAGTGTGACCAAAAAATATAATTTAATAACTTTTTGATTTTCTTCCGATTTCGCTCTATTGTTTATATTGATAAAATTGTGTATCTATTGATATTATTAAAATTGTTATGTTTTTTACTGTTTTAAATAATTTATCACATCATTAGTTTATATTGTGTGTTATAATAATATGTATATATAAATAATATGTATATAATACCTGTATATAACGCAGTGTGTTAATTAATTATCGTACCCGACGTCATCATTGCAAGTATGCAACCAATATCACAGTATTTATTTTATAATACGATATTTGCGTATTGTAATACCAATACTGTGATATTGGTTGCATACTTGCAATGATAACGTCGGGTACGATAATTAATTAACACACTGTAGATTTTTAAATGTAAGTATGAAGCAAACATTGACATAATTATATGAATTTCGCGTAATTCGTTAAAATCCTGTCTTGCCAGTAATATAAGTCTTCTTTTTGATTAGTTTGAATTTATATCAATGGTTCCGATGAAATGAGTGACATCTTTTGATGTTTGATAAAACTATATGCTTTGTTTTATTATATGGATGTAAACCCCTCTTAAATTTGGGAGGGGGACATTTAAAAGAAAAAAGGCTAATGAGTTTATTGCTTAAGGAGAGCTCAAGATAGCGAATTAAAGATTGTTTTGTTAAATTATTGAATGCTAATTTGATGTTGATTAATGCCAAATTGGTTTTGTTTAATGCCATTTTGAATTTGATTAGTACCAATTTGAACTTGAATAGGTATAGTGGTAGTTCTATGAGTTAAAAATATTTTGTTGATTCTAATAACTCTCATTATATCGAGGTTTTACTGTAATAATATTTTACCTATCTCCATAAGCAATATCAAAATTCTCAATTCTAATATCTTGAGTTTTATTGTTCCCTTTAGCTTCTAATTTATATTCTTTTTTACTTGTAACTTGTGAGGCTGTAGCCGATTCTAATTTAGGAGCATTATTACCCACCCTAGGAGTTTCTTTTTGGCGTTTTTCTGCTTTTTCTTGTAATTTAGCTTGGGCTTTCTCTAATTTTTTCGCATCAACTTTCTAAAAAAAAAATGAATACGCCCATAATATACTTTCTAATAAATAACTAACCAAACTATCATCTCTTTGCATAACCCATATACTTTTCATATCATCCACGGTACTCTCTAAATTTGCAGCCATGGATCCTAAATGAACTGGAGCATGTAAAACTTTGGCTAAACCGTTGGTATTTTGAGTGTTTTTAGTTGGTCGTAACATATTTAATAATTTATCGCATATACACCTAAATAAATAAGCAATTAATTATTTAATTGAATCAAACCATAATTTAATTTATCAATTACCTTATTTCTTTTTCTGTTTTTTCCGCAGCAATTTCGTGTAAAACTTCGCCGACCGCCTCGTAAATTTCATCGCTATCTTGAAAATCATCTGCCCCGTTTTCGAGTACATCTAGTTAAAATATAGTAGAAAATTCGTGATAAAAATCGTTAACATGTGTCCCGTTCGTAAACCAAAACGTATTTATTTTCCTTTTATAATTATTAAAGCTTACCTTGTACATATTGTTTTAAATCATCATCAATTAACGGAAATTCAGTTTTAATAAAATCACTACATTGCATCATTATGTTGCCTTCGTCGTTAGATATTTTTCAATCATAAATTTTATCTCTTGCACGGTGTTTTAGGTTAGATTTGGAAGGCAATTGACAATTTCACAATTGACGTTTACAAAAGATATTCAAGACGAAGTGTTACCAACTGATATTTTTTATAAATAAAATGTTACTAAAATAAACTAATTGAAACTTGATTTGTAAAAATTTAATGAAAAAATCCATATTGGACGTGATATAGGAGCGAAAATTCATGAATTACTATTTAAATTTACTAATTCTACCGATGTATGTCTAATCTCTCTTTGTAGTGATATTGGTTCCTGAAAACAATGCAAACTCCACTCTCGAGCTTTTCTGCTCAATTCATTTTGCTCAAATTTTGTTCAAACTGTTCAAATTTTGTATAAATATGTTGATACTGTTATACGTGAATTTGTCCCTTTAACACTGCAGTAGTCGCGCCTCCGGTTATTAGAAGAGTTGGCGCATGTCATCTCTAAGATTCTTTTCTATTCAAAGCATGCAAAAGTATTAACTGGTTAGTCCAGACAGACCTAAGGAGTCGTGCAAAATATCTAATCCATCTTAATTACATGAAGTATGCTAGAAGATCTGAAAGCAATACAACAAGCAAAGCATTTCTACCGACATCTTCAAGCAACAATAGACAAGATAAACTATAGGGACAAGGTAATAATAACGGGAGACCTGAATGCCCGAATTGGCAATCTCTATACAAGGAATAAAATAAAAATACAACGAATAAATAATAAACGAGATGCTAGTAGAAACGAGCTAAGAATTAACAACAAATTTTTTTCACACAAGGAGCAACACAAATATACTTTCAACAACAGTAGAGGCCAACGGTCAATAATAGACTATATAATATCAAACAGGTCAATACTTTTCTCGCAAATAATCGATGTGAGAGCACTAACATCAGCCAACATAGGAATCACAATGTCGTATTATGCAAGATGTGTTCTGCAAAACCTCACAAAACACTGGTTCTGCCAAGAAGTTAAGCACTTAGACCACCACCTGCATGGCGCCCAAAGAAGGATTTGGAAGATACTCCGAAATCGTAAAAAACACTTAACGAGTTTATCCAAACCAATATAGTTTCACAAGCAGAATGACAGAAATATTTAAAAAAAACTATACTCCTCAGAAAGACTTATACACATTGATGAACCAGTAAATACCNTGAAAACTATCGTGGCATAACACTGTTGAACACTTCTATGAAGCTATTTACAAATATACTAAAAAAATAAGCTACAAATGCCGACAACAGCAAGGCTTTAGGAAAGCCAGATCGATAACTGATGCCGTCGTTATCATGAAGCAAATATAAGAGAAGTCAGTTATGTTGTGAACTTGACCAAAGCTTTCGATAGAGTGCAATTGGGTCATGTATTAAATCTGTTAAAACAAAGAGGGGCACCAGCTGACATAAACATAATACATGTATAAAATAAAAAATATTGATTACACAAGAAAGGTGAAAGCTGGAGACGAATTGACTGAGGATATTTCCACTCCAGGAGGAACCAAGCAGGATGACAGTCTCAGTCCTTATTCAATCTGCTAATGGACAATATTATAGAAGAAGTGAGAACTATGCATCTTGGAAAAGATTTGTTTGGTCTGCTATGCCGTCGATGCTGCGATAATAGCTAACTCAGAAGACGACCTACAAAAACAACTTTACAAGTTTTACCAAATGAGAACTGAACATGCCTCTACTGACAAAAACAAGTGCATGGTGATAGCAAAGGAGCCAATAATTCCCAGCTACAATGATCCTGTTAAAGACCTAAGATCAGGTGCCTTAAGAAACATTGTTTGGTATAACAAATACATGAAAATCGACAGCAAAGTTAAGATATATGCATCAATATATGCAAGACATGCATCCGCCCGATAATGTTCTACAGGATCCAAGTCCGCGAGGATACAAATAAAATCAAGAGCTTACTAAGAACAGCTGAGATGAAAACATTAAGATCCATATTGGTAATAACAATAATGAATAGAATCAAGAACGACGACGTCAGGGAAATCTAGGAGATATAGGATATCGTCAGATGGGACAGACAATGGAAAAGAGCGTGACATGATCCGTAAACAAAATGCCAAATAATGAATTGCTTGATATACAACCCCCTAGGCACCATACCACCAAAAAGATGACGCGATAGTTAGCAATCTAAGTCTCAGGACGTAACAAAGGCAAAACCAGACAAACTAAACAGACCATAATATGGTTATGTTATAAACTTTAAAACAACACATGTGATTCTCCAATGCTTGTCGGTTCTATAGGTGTCCAAGATTACTTCGCTTTGACATTCTATTTATAACACCTACTCCTAGAACAATGCCTGTCAAAACTCTGCTTTATTGAGAATGGCAAGATCTGTAAATTATGTTAACATAGATCTGTTTCAGCATTCTTTCTATGCATTTAAAAAATTGCTCTGTTGCAGTTGGTGTGTAATATAATATAATAAATATAAAATTTTAAAAGTATATATTTGGTAATATCAACAACAGATACAAAAATAATGACGCGCACTTAAATGTCAATAGACGATTAAATATTTACAAAAAGAAAAAATGGGGTACATTCTAAAAAACGTCTATTGTATGCTTTGTTCTTGTCAAGGCACTTATAGTTTGTATATTATCGTTAAACAATTAAAAAAATTAAAAATTTCATTCTTTTGAAAACCATTTCAGGAAGGCGAATAATATTTCTTTTCTGTACAATTTACAAATTTTATATACAACTTTTTACATAAAAAGAAATGCATGTTTTTCGTCACCACGAAAATGCAAATAGTTTTCCTCAATTAATTACTAAAATATCCTAAAAAAATTATAATTAAAAAACGTAAAGTTTACATTGGCGCCGTTTTCTTTCTTGTTTGTATGTAAGTAATCATCATATTATAATTTTTTTTTTAACTGAATACATATACATAACTTCTTAGACTACACGATAAATATCACATGAAAATACAGACTCGACGATAGTAATAGAGACTTTATAAATTAAATTATTGGCACAGCGATCGCACGACGACGTTTAATTAAAAAAAAAAAAAATGAGAAACAAAACCTAGATTTCGGAGTTCTCAATAATCGACAATATTCAATTAAAAAGTTTATATAAAAATTTACTGTATAATATTACTGTGCATTTATCTAAAATTAAAAGGCACAACTTCCATTTTCAATTGAAGTTTTCAGGAGATTAACCTCGATTCAAGTTTTTTTGTTAAATATTTTTTAAGATCAATATCACTTTTAAATTTTTATTTGAGATTATGTAACTGTCATTATTTAATTGTAAATTAAAAGATGTGTATAAAACGAATTTTTTTGTGATAAAAATCGAAAAAATTAAATTACATAATTTAATTTTGCAAATATAATTCATACAGCTCCACCAGCAGATGCTTTACCTATTTTGAATGAATTATAATAAAAAAATTTAAAAAATAACTCTTTCTTAAAAAATATTTGGTTAAAAAAAAATTTGAGGTTAGATTACTTGTCAAATGTCAAATTCAAAAAAAATTTTGAGGTTATATAACTGTCATTATTGAGAAAATTATCAATAAAAAATATTTAACAAGTTTAAAACCTTGTAAAATACATTACTGTAACATAAGTATATCCAAATTTCTATTTAAAATAGTGTCCTTAACCGAATTAAACACTACTTTAATATTTTCCGTATCTACGGCAGTGGTAAAGTGATGGTAAAGAGATTTCTTCGGTTCTCGTTTAACGCCCGTAAACATAGCCAATATAAACGTTTGCACCTCTTGTATCGAATGCGAATTACCGGAAAATTGCGGAAAATACCAACGGATATCCGTCTCGGGATTCGCGACTTTTTTCACCAACAGATCGTATTTATTTAGAAAGAGAATTATTGAAACGGACGTGAAAATTTGATTGTTGATGATGGTGTCGAAAATGTTTTTCGACTCTTCGAGTCTATTCGTTTTCCGATCTTCGTGAATTACCTGATCGAATTCCGATGATGAAACAAGAAAAAGTATTGACGTTACCGAATCGAAACATTGAAACCATTTTTGCCGTTGCGATCGTTGGCCACCAACATCAACGAAAAGAAAGGGAACATTATTTATGGGTATTTCCACTTCAGTTATTCCTTTCGTCGCTTTTCTACAATGAAGAATATCTTTGTGCGTTGGTATGTAATCGATTCGAGCTATCCTGTCGAGATTGTTTAGGAAATATTCTACGGAATCACTCTGAAATATACAAAAACATTATTAGAAATGAAAATATGATGTTTTTTTTTAATAACCTACCAATTGAAACTCCCTTCTTCTTTCATAAGCCCTCTTAATCCCCACATCCTTCCATAATCTTGATAAATCAGGTGTATACCTTCCAAAAACTGTATAATCAATAACTGTATGATTATTAAACTGAAGCAACTTAGCCCCAATGTCTGTGTTTCTTGAGTCAGCCCAAGGTATCCCCAACTTATCCCTAGCATCCACTAGCACCTTCATCCCTTTTAAAACGTTTTGATAAATCACTTCTCGATATTCCTTCATTTGCTCGTCTTCAAATTTAATCCCATGGATGATCCTCATTTGCTTAAGAAAGGTGGACTTCCCGCTTTCGCCTGCACCCAAAAGGAGTAATTTAACTTGCCTCTTCATCACTTGTTTGTCCCGTTTGATACGTTTGTCGATGTCGCGGCTCCTGCGCATCTGTTCGATCTCTTCGGGGCTGTATTTGAACTGGAGGCAGCAGGAGCAGCTCGAGGCGGACCATGGCACGCTCGACATTTTAGCCGCTCGCGGTTTTTCGGGCCACTTTTCCGGTCCCTTTTGGTTGCCCGTTACATTTCCTTTGGGCGTGTCGCCGTTCCAAGGCGTTTTCCAACGATTTTCTTCACCAATTTCCCTTCGTTATTCACTTCTCCATTTGACATTATTAGACACACTACATGATTGCGCACGCGCCACAACACTCACCTCATTATTATTTTTCTTCGTCAACGTTTTTATTGTTTAGATATAATCACCGGACGTCGTTTCATTACTTCTATTAAACGGTGCGGTTTTACGGTTGCGCTTTGTTAGATTAAATTAAATTGAATAAATTAATTAATTTAAATAATAAAAAAAAATTCGTAAATGAAGTTGTGAGATCTATTGGGAGGAGTCGCTTTGATGTTAGTGGTTGTACCAATCGTTAAAAAGAAATGTCCCTATTTTTATTTCTTTTTTAAATCTTTATTTTTAAATAACTAATTTTATTAACAAAACTTTTATATTTATCCAATTAAACAATATTAAATCAAATCAATAATAATTTATGTTGTTTTTCGTCAGGAAATAACACTATGCTGTAACAATATGGAATATGAAGTTAGCTACATGTTCTTAAAAAACAGTGACCCACACTCAATTTCACGCCTATTCAAATAGCATTAATAAATAAAACTTTAAAAAGCACACGATAATTTCAAAATATAGATACATTTGAGCTTCACGAAAGCTGTTTTGAGTTCTTGATTGAATCTAACTCTATAATTGAAATATTAGTTTTAATATCTTTCAATTGCGTTATACATCACTTGACTAAGCGACATTTTATCGTTTTTAGAGATTTTCATGCTGTCTGGTAGGTAAAGGTGTAACTTATCTTAGAAAAAATGCAGAATACCGAAAGACCTAAAATACTATTTGTTTTAAAGGATAAAGCGCCAATCACGTTATACGATTTCAAGTCCGTTTTGCATCATACGTCTAAAAACCGACTTAGATACACCAAGAAATTCTACAATAGAAGAAATAGAAGAACCTACAATTTTAGGCCAGTGTCGTTTTCTACATGTTAGTATGAAATTAAAAGTTTATGTCTTTTATTTTATATAGAATTTAAGTCTAACTAGTTTCGGCCCTTGGCCATCTTCAGAGATTCTACAAATAGATTAACATTTCTCAACTTATCCATTTTACAAACGATAGCGCTAGTTAGCATAAGATATCACTATGTTGCATATTTTTATTGCATTAAAACTAGAACTAACACTAGAGCTAGAACTAGAAACGTTCAAGTTGTGAAAAAAACTTTCAGTTGTCAATGTCAACTGTAATTTTATTATTATATTTGTAATCTTCATAAAATAACCTTTAAAGTGAGTCCGAACTTGACGCATTTATCTCAAAAAACCAAAAAGTTCGAACTGTTAACTTTTAATTTTGATATATTTGTCAAGTTCACAAAAATCCTTTAAAATAAATCCGACATATTTAATTTTAATATTAATGGAAATACAATCACTTCCGGTTTGAAACGTCAACGTTAATTTTGACATATTTGTCATCTTCATTAAAAAACCTTTAAAATGAGTCCAAAGATGACGCACTTATCTCAAAAAACAAAAAAGTTAGAATAAAAAAGATTAAACCCGAAGTTAGCAACAATGAAGACAGCAATTTAATTTTTAAATATTAATATCAACCTTAATTTTTACTTTTTTTTTATTATATTTTTGTTTTTGTGACAAATATTAAGACATTTTATAAAAATTAACCCTAGGATGCATAAACCGGGCCTCTTAGGCCCGGCGAGTATTTAATTACTATGGTTATTTTATTGGTTAAGTATCCTAGGGTTAAGAATATGTCAAAATGACATTGACATTTCAAACTGGAAGTTCTTATATCTCTCATTTTAAAGGATTTTTCACGACGATTACAAATATGTCAAAATTGACGTTGACATTCTTAACCGGAAGTTAACCATAACTCCATTAATATTGAAGATAAATATGTCGTGTTTGTACTCATTTTAAAGGATTTTTAATGAAGATTACAAATATGTCAACATTGAGGTTGACATTTTAAACCTGAAGTTCGTTATCATATAAGTTAATTGAAGTTAATTTAGTGTTAGTCACTTTTCCGCACTTTTTTTTTTATTTTTAACGTGTTTTTTGGGTCACTTCACATTGATTAAAAAAAATCGTTGATTTTTAAGCCACATGATGATTAATACGAAATTACACACGAAATTAACAAAAAACACGAATTTTTGCTCAACTAGTGAATATTTTTAATGAAGAGCATCCGGATACCAACCATTATAAAAATAACGCATCGGAAGATGTCTTTGTAAGAGAATATTGTTCTAGAACTTAAATGATGTCCAAAAGTATCATCCACGTATCGCAGCCATAACTTTGGTTTTCAATAACTGGTTTTGAAAGCCGTTTATTCAAACACTTTCATATAGAAATTGGTGATAACGGCAATCCCATGGTTGCTCTCTCATATTGTTAATAAAACTTTCCTTTCTAGATTAAGTAACACTTTAACTACCCTTTTAAGTAGTTATCTAGAAAATGCCTGCTACAAATTTCCAAGACTTCTGACTTGTCAAGCCACTATATTTATATGTCTTGAGATTATGTATCAAAAGAATTTGAAGTCCATAGACTTCAAAGTATGTACTAATGTTATGTAAAAAAGCAAAAAAGTTGGATGTAGGTAATTCGAGCTATTAATTATTTAGGAGTTGCATAAAGTATCTTCTTTGCATTTTCTTTTTTCTTAATTCAGTAGGGATTATGGATCTAGTCATTAGTATTTAGTTTGTGTTTCGTCACTGTTCTAACTGGCTAAAAAATGTCAACGCGAAAAGAAATTTCTGTTGAAATTAGAAAATTGGTGATAAAACATCGAAAAGACAAGAAATCTAGGGCGAAATTGCCAAAATTGTAAATCTAAGGCGAGCAAAATTCGTACAGGCCGGCCAAAGAAACTTTCTAGAAAAGATATTAGCTCTATATTAAAAGAAATGAACTAAAACCTTAGAGTTAGCGCACCAAAATTTTACGAGGTAATGGATTTTTCAGTAGGTTCGACTAGAATTTACTTAATGTCATGTCGACAAGGGAATGGATTTCTGGTCCAGGGTTTTGTTTACTAAGGAGTCGAACTACAACCTTTTTGGAAGTGATGGTCGAGCAAAAGTTTGAAGAAAACGAAACATACTAACAACAAATAAACATACTAACTGCAAAGCACGGCGGAGGTAGTGTCATGATTTAGGAAGCGATAGCAGCATCTGGTGTAGTTAAACTGAATTTCATTGATGGAATCATGGATCGGTATAAATATAAAAGTATTTGGAACAAAATTTGAAGCCATCAGTAGAAAGGTTGGCCCTCGAGGATCGCTGGATATTCCAGCAAGACAATGACCCCAAGTATATCGCAAACCTTATCAAACATTGGTTGTTATATGATGCACCTAGGCAATTGAATACACCTCCTCAGAGTCCGGATTTAAATCCAATCCAGCATGTTTGGGGCCTTTTGCAACGTAAGATGCAAAATCACAGATGCGAAAACACTGAAATCTGCGTTAGTCGAATCTTGGACTGAAATAACAGCAGAAGAGACAACAAACTTAGTTGCTTCAATGAATTCACGACGCTTGCTTGCTGTTATAGAAGTTCAAGGAGTGCCAACGAAATATTGAGTTTTAAAAACTGTCGTTACATGGACTTAATAATTTATTTTTAGTTAAAAACTACTGTGTATGTAAACTTTTATCTTATTAATTTTTGTATTATTTGTTGAATTTTTAGTACATAGCTGTTAAACGAGTTGTTTTCTTCTGTTTTGTGAATAAGTAATTAATCACGCTGTAATACTAATTTTCTGCTATCTTATTACGCTGTACAAAAACCTCATAATCAATGCTGTATGTAGACTTTTGGCCGCCATTATATTATGTTGATTGTTATTCTAGAGCTAGAGGGTTGTATTAAAGATAGAGTTTATTAGGATGTACGAAAAACATCTATCATGTGTACTTGATATAAGTTTAATTACATGTTTTGGTTATTTCATTGTAAATAAAATTCAATGTTTTTTCTTCAGGCTTAATTTTGTCGATATAGGCAACCAAAGCAACTAAAAATAGGCGCCATCTAAACTTTGATCATGAAGTTGGTTGGGATTTCCAATTTTATTTTTAAAATTTAATGTAATCAAAGGAAACCCAAATGTGTTTTCGCCTACCTATATTTTCCTGTATGTATTTTCTCTATTTTACTATTAACTTAATAATTTTTCAAAATTTTAATTGTGATAAGGTGTATACAGGAACATGAAAAACAAGAGCTTCATACAAAAGACAGCTTATGTTTAGTTTAATTAAATCTGTTTACGCCATTTTAAGCTTTTTTATGGTTCTCAATTAATAACACATAAATGGCATCAATTAACCGATAAATTAAAAATATCCGAATGTCACACTTTTTGTTTGACACTGTATAAAAGTTGGATGGTTTCTTTTTATAACAATTGAAACCTTGTTAAAAATCATAGATGTCACTCTAGTCTAGTAGTGAAGTTTTTTAAACCCTAACCTAACTTAACCTAAAAAAAAAGTTTAAACAAAGAACTTAAAAATCAACATAAAGTAACCAAAACAATTCTTAAAATTTGTTAAACATATGTAAATTTTTTCTATTGTAATCCTTTAAAAAAGAATTTCAAGAAAACTTTAAACGACTACCATTTGGGATCAGTTTACGTCAATTAATTGAAATGTGATCGAAAGATAGGCGGATACCACTCACACAGATACGGAGACACTAAAATCGAATCCGACGACAATGATGAATAAAATTCTCTATGTATTAGATAGAGACGGTAGAATGTCAAGTTGAGAGAACCTTATGGAAGGCAGACACACAGTTGTATACAATTTTGTAGACTTGTAGCACTTATGGGACATTCCTTCCAAGCGTTCTTTGAACATAGTTTTATCAACAATTCCGTTTAAATGCAATGTTCGAATCAATATGAAACGTAACTGTTTTCATTTAATATCGCGTTCGCGTTAAATTCTCTTAATAAATTAGTGTTAAAAGTTAATTTGGAAGAATTTTCAGAATACATTTTGAAATTGTTTATTGAAGAGTTTTTGGAACATGACTGATTCGTTTTCAACCAATTTCCCACCACAAACATATTCATCATCATACTTTTTAAATTTAACGGAGGTAAGTATTCATTTTTTCGATGTTAGGTTATGTTAATCATTAACCGATTTATGTTTCACAGAAGAAATTGGTTTTAATTGTTTATATGCACATTTTTTAATAAAATCATTACAGCTTATGAACCTTGAACATGTCAACAATGAACTGAAAAAGTAAATTTTTAATGTGTTTTAATGTTATCTTAAAAATGTGTGCTATGAAAATGGTCTTTTTTGGGTTAGTAGAAATATTTCACTCAAACAAAAAAAAACTATTAAAAATATTTAAAGTATTCTCAAGGCGTAAATGCAAGTTAAATAATCTGTTTTACTTTATTATCTTTTATGTATTATATACACACAAGATTAGTGTATGTTTTAGTTCAAACTCAAATAAATGTTTACAATCATAAAAAGCCAACAGAAACTGTTCAAGAAGTTTTTAATCGAAAAAGTAAACGCCAAAAAGAAAAGCATTTTTAAAAATGTTGGTGATTAATTTGTTTTTAGAATTGAAATGTTGATATTTATAAATTTAAATATCATTAACCTATTGATTTTAAAGCATTGAAATATTTATAAAAATCTTTAAAACTCAAGAAGAATAAGATAAATAGGGAAGATTTGCAAATAAATCTTTTTTAATAGAGCCTGATACAATTTCTTGTTTACCTTGAGCACATAAACATTGTGTTTTTCATTCATTCAAATAATCTTTTTTACAACTTCATTATAACTTAAAGTAATGTCATATTTTTCTTAAAATGTTTTAATGAATTCAACATCAATTACAGTAAAAGCTGGATATAATGGACTACTGTTTGAATGAATAAATTTAATGCATACAAATTTGGACAGTTATCCAACTGGCTATTTAACCTAACACTAAGACTAGACCTAGAACTAGAAATATATTCGGGTTTAGCTGTCTTAAGAGATGTATAGTTAAACCTGAATGTTTCTAGTTCTAGGTTTAGTTTTAGTTCTAGTTTTAATTCAAGAAAAATATACAACAATCTAACACTGAATAACAACTTAAAACTATAATTAACACTAGGATTACAACTAATACTAGTCCTAGAACTAGAAACTTTCAGGTTTAGCCGTCTTAAGAGACGTACAGCTAAACCTGAATGTTTCTAGTTTTAGATCTAGTGTTAGTTCCACTTTTAATTCAGTAAAAATATACAACAATCTAACGCTGAATAACAATTAAAACTTGAACTAACACTAGACCTAGAACTAGAAACTTTTGGGTTTAGCCATGCGTCTTCAGATGATCAGATTTTACACTATCACTAGAACTAACACAAGACCTAGAACTAGCATAATTTGGGTTTAGCCGTCTTGAGAGACGTGCGGCTAAATCCGAATGTTTCTAGTTCTTGGTCTAGTGTTAGTTCTAGTATTGCACTAGCACTATCACTAGAACTAACACAAGACTTAGAACTAGAATCATTCGGCTTTAGCCGTTTTGAGAGACGTGCGGCTAAACCCGAATGTTTCTAGTTCTAGGTCTAGCGTTAGTTCTAGTTTTACACTACCACTATCACTAGAGCTAACACAAGACCTAGAACTAGAATCATTCGACTTTAGCCGTCTTGAGAGACGTACGGCTAAACTCGAATGTTTCTAGTTCTAAGTTTAGTGTTATTTCTAGTTTTACACTAGCACTATCACAAGACCTAGAACTAGAATCATCCGCACGTCTCTCAAGACGGCTAAACCCGAATGTTTCTAATTCTTGGTCTAGTGTTAGTTATGGTTTTAGTTCAATGAAAAATATATAACCATCTAGCACTGAATAACAACTAAAACTAGAATTAATACTAGCATTACAATTAAGTTCTAGGTCTAGTAATTGGTAGTAGTAGTTACGTACTAAGTTCTATGTTTTTAGTTCTAAATTTGGTGTCAACAAAAATCTAACACTGAATAACAATTAAAACTAGAACTAAAAACTTTTGGATTTACCAGCGGTTCATCTGAAGAAAAAAATATTTTGTCCGTTATATCCGAATTTCATTCTAACGAGATCCCTTTTATCGAGGTTTTACTGTATTTACATATTCAAATGGTTCCGGTTATAAAATAGAACATGAGTAACGAATAGTATTAAGCGTCTGGGTGGGCTTAATACGTTTTACTCAGAGTTAATAGGAACGTAATTATTGATTCATTCAGATTTGATGATTAATAAAGAAAATTACGGATAAATCACGATTGATTATATCTTATTTTTACATTGACTTTTAATAATAAATCAGATTAACTTTGTTTTCAGGATGAAAAGAAACAGCATGCGACGAAGAGAAAGTTAAAATTTTCAAAAGGCGAACCTTCTTTATTGGATTGTTTCATAAGAACGGTAAGTTCAAAACGAAATAATTATAAAAAAATGCGGTTTTCGTTTCGACATATTTAATAGATATTTTCTAAGAAAAGTTTTAAACCTCAATCATACTTTGAAATTAATACTATTAATACTTAAAAGCTTTCCTATTTTATTTTTGTACTGCGTTTCGTAAGACATAAAAACGTTTTTTCTACCTATTTATTTTAACGACCTTTATATTTATAGTACATTGTTATTTGTACGTTGTCCCGCTTTTATATTGACTTTAATTAACTAAAAACAAGCACAGTAGGTGGCACAAATTCTATTATTAAAAACGTTGTATTCAATTCATTAAGAAATAAATTAAATTTTGCATTCAAAAATGAATGAATATAATTCTTAGAAATGATATCTTATTTTGGGATACATTAATATATGTTGATTTAAAAATATTATATAATATAACATAATATTAAGAATTATTTCTAAGAATTAATAAATTAAATGTTGAATGAATTTTATCTTTTCTTGGGATACATGGAAAATTGATTTCAAAACTATTTCTCAAAATTTCCAAAATTGATAACTTAAGTATACTATAAACATAATAATATTTAATATTATTTAATTAATATAACTTGATACTAAATGTAGCTTAAGTTTCATTGATTCAATATTTTTGCTTCTTGTAGCTCAAAAAATCATTTTATTTTCGTGGTCCATTTTCTTCTTCCTCTTTATTGAAGACTATGCCTTGTTTTTCTGCTTCCTTGGGGCTCTTGGGATGCTGACATCCAGCATTTGTGCCACCTTTTCGACGGTCGTCCTTTTATTCTTGGCGCATTTCGCCCAGATCGCACCACATCAAGCACCCTCAGTTCCTGCCGTATTGCTGAGCTTCTTATCTGATCTTGTAGGGTTACTCCTTTAATCGTCCTTAGCATTCTCATTTTGGTGGTTGTTAGTTTTTGATGTATCCGTTGGTTTCCGATGCATAAGTCAGTACTGGCCTCACTGTCGTTTTGTTGATGGGGACTTTGCTCTCCTCGGACATGTAGTTGTTCTGCCACACGATGTCTCTTAGATATCTAGATATTCTGGAGCCTTTGATTTGTGCCCTAACTTCTTGGTGCAAATTTCTGCAGCTAGAGATGTCAACGCCTAGCTACTTACAGTACAGGCTATTTCTAATGGGGCGATCAGTCACTACATCAATTTGTACATCTTATTTGTACTTCAGTGTTTAGGTCTTTCGGCGTAGTTTTGAAACGATATAGATAGATACATTTCTTTATTGTGTTATTAAGAAAAATAATAGCATAAAGTAATTGGATTATTAAAGCATCTCCTTTGCATTCGCAAAGCCTGGGCAGCGTGAGCAGAATGAACCTAACATAGAAATATATTTATTTAAATTCATGACCAAGCTCAGCACATGAGTTTCCCATGTTAGCTTGAAATCAAATATCACTCCCAGATATTTAACCAGCTGAGTGAGATTTGGTGGACTGGAAGAGATTCTTGGACGCGTTCACCGCAAAATTGTTATATTCAAACCAAGACAGGAGATAATAAATATATTAACCTCGGTTAATATATAGCATATTTAAGCAAGTTACAGCTTTACGGCCTAGGTAAATAATAGCGATGAGGCCGAATACGGGGCTTGTGAAGCTTGTGGGAGTTGCTTTAAGACGATGAACAGCATGAGGATTAAAGAGGAGCAAAGGTATAGCGTAAAATTGGGGTGCACTGGCAAAATTTCCAGCTAGAAGTGATTTTGCGAAGTAGCTATAATGTTTGCATAATAGTTTAGAAAGAAATAATTGTATCAATTTGGTACTGTTTAATGTATATCAGTTTAACGATATTTCGAAGCTTTTATCGATCGCGAGGTTTAGGAGAATTGGTATTTGAGACATAAGTGTCAATTATATAGTTGTGGATTGTAATAGGTTTGTGAATTTGGCCGCTTTAGTGATTACCGTTTTTTGGTGATTCTTACATATCACTGTAATATAACATCATAAACGCTTTTTTTTATACCGAATAGCAGATTATTTTTGCGTGTGCAAGGTTTTTCCAATGTAGAATCATAAATAGTTGATTGCGAAAATTAAAGTTGAATCATGTTTTTCCATAAAGGTTTTTATGTTAATTCTAGTATGCATCATTTTTCAGTGAAGTTGTCATTTTTTTGAATGCACATAATTGGCAAACTATAGAGAAGTTTTATGGTTATAATAAATTTTTATTTTTTTATTATCTCTTTTACGTCTTGTATTGGAATATGTATACATTTCCCATGTATACTCATTTACCGTAATATATACGTTTTGACAGACACTTATCTGGATGTTTTGGAATCAAATGCATGTTTCATCAGGAAATATAGTTTATTATTATTCTAAACACATATTGCGGTAATACAGAATGTTTGCAAAATGTTTATGTTCGACGTATGCGTATATAATCTACTTATACACACGTATGCAAATTTAATATTTATTTAATATATAATTCATTCAAAGTTTCTGACTAAAATGACGAATAATTCGCATTCGAAAAAGAATAATGAAATAAATTTAGAACTTTAGGGACGATGACATCAAAACTGGTTCAAAATCGTTTATTTATCGAACGGATGCAGTACATAAAAAAAAATAAAAATGATAATGCGCTTGTGCTTTTGTGTGCGAGTTTCTCTGTCTGTATTCGTTATAAAAGAGTAGTACCTCTTTGAAATATACACATAAATTCACGCACACCAAGCAACTGTTGCGTTCGTCGAGGAGTAAACGGCGCGGTTTTACAAACGGAGGTCACCGTTGACGTCAATGACGGTGACCACGTGATATGCTTTTCAAAAGCGACTCTCTCACACACAAAGTTGGAAAGTTAATAAGCGGTAGATGGAATTTCTTCAATCGATTCTGATTGAATAAAGACATATCCATCTGATTAGAAATTGTAATTGGCGAGTTTTTTTTTGCCATTAATAAAAGAAAACGGTTAGGTATTTGATTCAATTTGTTTCGATTCAATGCAAAAATTTGATTTTTTCGTGTCAAATTGAGGAAGGAATGTGTTTACTTTTATTTATTGTGTAGTTGTTTATAAATATTAATAAATTGAACTTTAAATTATTGGTAATATCACAAAGGTCTCTATATGATAAGTAGAGCGTGCAGGATGTCGAATTAATATAAAAATCAATATAATTAAGATTTGTCTTTAAACTTTCTCGATTGAGAAATTCTTGTTTTGAGAGAATGTTAACGATTAGTGTCTAGACAAAGTAGATTATTCTAGATTTTTTCGAATTAAGCGGTTTAAAGAAAGTTTAAGTTAAATTAGGCTTTCAGATAAAATGTTTAAAAATTATCTGTATTTGACATAATCTCATTTAAAAGGCAAAATTAGCAAAATTGAAATTGCTGTCTTAAGATTTATGTACCACCGACCTCTTACGAAGGTTAACAGGATTTAAAATTTTGCAACACACTAAAATGAGAGACATTTCTTTGTATGATATCTATCTATCTGTGTGTTGTTGCCATTCAGTAGAAGTTAACAAATTCTTACAATTATCCTACAACCCTCTTTGCAACACTTCGAATGTATAAACTTAGCAGTGAAAATTAATTCTGTGACTGTTGTGACTTAAAAAAATCTACTCAGCTATGAACAGAACATTTTCAACACTTTTGATAAAATTGGTAAAACTGATGCGAAGCAGCTTTAAGTAAAGAATAGACTTTTATTTTTTCTAAATGTCTGATATTAATATGTCATGGAATGAGAGTAAAGCAGTATGCTTAAGACCTTATGAATAAATGAATCTATTTGGAATACGCTAAAGTTATTCATTTTCGAATTATGCTCTCTTGATATAATAGCTTTATACTTAATTTGTAGCATATCTTTGGATAAGTATTCTGTTACAATCAATTGAAAGATCAAATTGTTTTTAAGTATACCGACTACTAAAAAATCTTCTTCAGTCTCTTCTCTGATCGATTGTTTCAGGCACTAGGAGTTATAACTAGAATCCTGCATGTTAGGGATCATCTAGTTTGCAGATTGATACATTACAAGTTGGGATGATACATTGATACTTTAAACTAGCTAGTGAATATTACTATATTTACATTAATGGAGCATATGTTCTGGTTACATCAACCATTCTACAAACAAATTAAGGGCTAAAGGAAAAAGTGTTGCTTAGAAATGAATCGTTGATTTCAAACCTTCATCTACGTATTTCATTACTTGTATGGTCTTTCAGAGTAGGGTAGCCACAAAAGGTGTCTTCAATGTCTCAGCATCTCATTGATAAGTAACACAAAGAATTGTTAACAAGTGGCACGTTGTGCTTATTTACAAAGTTACTAGTTAAGAATTCTGTGATTACTTACAAAGTGCTTCTGCTTAGTCTTACAAATGATTGCACTCCTTCGGCAGAGTAGTATCTTAAAAGGTGCTTGGACTGTCAACAGTGCTACATCAATTGTACAATGATCAATTCGATAGAATAATACTAGGCATTTTCGTCAAACATATAACACAGATAAAGTCATTTCTTTGCATAATATTAAAACATTTGTGTTTGTATCAAAATGAAATTGTCTATCCAAGAAAATGATGAATTTCTGCTTTTTATTTCTAAATCTAGAAACATGCCGAAAAAATATTAATGTAATGTGTAATATTTGGATACCATGTCACAAACTTCTACAGAAACATGTTTAATGTGATGAATATCATCAAAACCTTTTCATCAACTTATTAATTCGTTTGGCTGACTTATTCTTACTTATACGAAGATTTACTTAACACCATTTTGAACATATTGAAAATTTGCCTTGTTTATATGACTACTTGCGTCAAATGAATGAACACATTTTGTATGTTGTAATAACTTATATGATATGTTTATCTTCTCAACTACTCATTTATTGTCCATAGCGCAATTAATCATTGCTACATTCTATTTCAAAACAGTAATCTGTTTGTAATCTGATAGCTAA